AGCAAGTATAACAAGCAAGGTATTTTACTTGCCCTTAGCAAAAGGAGGAAATGAAATGTTATTTTTACTTACTTTTCATCAAACTTAGCTGCATATGTGTAGAGCAGTATCAAAGGGCAATTACAGTTGTATAAAGTCTGCTGGGCTGAAGAGCTAATTAAAACGATGTTTGAAAAAAACCACTTAATCTGAATGAGCTCTTGCATTTTGAATAATAGATTAAAATTTTTTACTCTTATTCATTTGCTCTTTCTAGTGCTTTACACACATCACACATTAATTTTCAAAAGATACTTGTCTGCATTTGAGTGTGTGTTGATGTAATGAAAGAAGCACAAATGATTTGCTGAAGGTGATAAAATGGGCACATCATAAAGCTTGGGGAAGCTTCTGGACCACAGTTATCCCTGGTAACTTTGGAACAAACTTCATCTTGACTATAATTTCATTCTGGACTTTTGGAATGGGTTTAGCTTTTTCCTCTGAAGTTTCACAGAGAGAAAGTTGGTGTTCAGATGATTATCTGCTGCTGTTTGTAAAAGGTTTTAGAAAAGCCAGAGCTCATATTACACAATAAACAGCTAATCCACATTAGGTGATAGCTATAATGAGTCAGGATATGAAGATAGGCTGAAGATTCTTACACCTCATTCACTGATAATTCATTCTGACTGGATTTTTCTGTCTCGAGGAGAAGGCAATGTCTCTTTCTCTTTGACTTAAGTCTGAACATAGAAAAGGAGTTTAAGGAGAGATTACAGAACTCAGACTGTGTTTTTGGATGGCCCCTCTCCCTAGCTGGGTGAATGGTGTTAGCTGTGCTCTCTCTGAGTGTCAGAGCTATGTTTATCACTCAGGAATTGTGGGCATGTGAATTTGTGCTCTGACCAAAACAGTGCTTCAGTCAACATGTTTCTATTCCACGATATACACACTTGTTATTTTGCTATTATTTACTCATAATTTCCTTTTCTGTCCTTTAAACAAATAAATATTTTCAAAGGAAGAACTGGATGTTTCTAGAATGAGGTTTTCTAGGGGCGTTGTTTTATTAATGGAATGACTTACATTAACAAATCAGTGGAAGAAATGGTAACGTGAACCAGCATATTGAATTTCACTTTAGCAATCTGTATTCCAGAAGGAAGTCCTGAGAAGCAGTCATTGGCAATAGAACCTCTATTTAAATTACAAAATAGGCAGTATGCTGAGTGCATATAGAGCATATGAGAGATTAAATAGAAGTGTTTGTTTGTGTTCATAAGGTAACCAAGACAATAAAAATGGGCTCTACAACTAAGACTTCAGAAGCTGTGGTAACGAAAACAGTAATTAATATAATTTAAGTTACTATCCCCAGGGCAGCTGTAAATTGATGGTATTAATTATGCAACAAACCTGTTTGTAAATTGATGACATAGGAGCTCGTGGAAGTCATCTAGAATAAATTTTTCATTTTGAAGCTTTTTGGCAATATATTATGTAGCTGTCAATAGACACCAATGGATATTCAAAGGTTATTTATATTAAAATCTATAATTTGTCTTCTTCAAAAAATGAATTAATGTGAAGACTGCAGTTATAAACAATCTGTTATTTCATGTGCATAAGATTGATTATATAATATAAACCAGAATTCCTTATTCCTTAGTATTGAATTCAATAGATGCCACGTTTGGTATTTTTCTGCCACTGTAACTGTGTTGATTCAAGTGAATTCCAGCAGCAAGGAATGTATGATATTGAATTACCTCTGCTGTTACTACTGATTACAAAGATAAGATGATAAGAAGTTTAATATATATTTTTTAATAGATATTTGAATTTTAAGCTTTTTTTTTTTTTTTTTTTTTTTTACCTCTACATATCAGAGTGGCTATTAATAGATGTGATGAAGTGCTGGAAGTCCAGCCTGTTCATTTCTTTTCAGTTCTTCAAGGTTAGAAACCTTGAGAGAGAGAGATGGTAAATGAGAGGAGTATATTAAAAAGGTGCAAAAATCTTTTTCCTACCTTAAAGAAGGAAGTGGTATGCAACATTTCCTCTGCTTTGCATTGTTAAATGAAAATTTAAATTTTAAAATGTCAAAGTATTTTTACTTATTTTTAAAAAAATATATAAAATGAAAGTAAGCACTTAAAAATAATTTAAAGCAACAAATATTTCTCTTTTGTTTTCCCTCATTGGCAATGCTTGTGTTTTCTGGCTAGTCATGTGATATTTGTTTGTCTAGGTTTCTGTGAAGCAGCTTAGATTGCATGACCAGTTTTACCAGCTGGAAGTACCTGTTTCTCAACTGCTGTGAGTGAAACTAAGAGGAGCACAGTCCTGTCACTGCCTAGTGCGGTATCTAGCAACTTGAAACTGTCTGAAGTGCAGTAATTGTATTTGCTTGCGTATGCTTTCTAAATTCTAAAATAATATACGCTAGGGGAATATAAATAATGCCATGATTTAATGGCATCTCCCACCTGACAAAAAAAATAAATCTTGTTTGTCCATTTTTATGTATTTTCCAATCATAGTTTTAGCTTGCAAACAATTTTGGTGATTATTTCCACAATGTCTTTAGGCCAAAGACAGCAAGGTTTTCTTTGTGTGTTCTGTAATTTTTCCACCAAAGCAATAAAACTGGAAGTGCAGGGTAAGACATACAAAATAAGGTGATATCAAGATATCTCCATTACTGTGCAACAGCCTGGAGCCTCTAGTCTAATTTTGTGTTTGTATTTCCTTGTTACAAATATGCAGATAAAATAGTGGGAGTTTAGCAATGTTGACACATTATATTGGAATTTGCCATAAATCTGTTTTTTGTTTGGGCTTGCTATTTGCACTCTTATTCCCTCTCTTCCTGTTTCTAAGGAATATTTTGCCCTCTGACTCAAGAATATCCAGTGATACAGAACAGCTGCTGTCAAGTGTCAAAACAAGAGCATGACTAGAGGGTGAGGTAGAGGGGGAAAATGTTTTTAAAGACAACCAAGGTAGTCAAAGTCATCAGCTGCGCTTCCTAATTAGAGAGAGAAGATGAAAGCAAAACGACAGGTCTTCAGGAAAGCACAGGGCATCTCTAGCTGATTTTAGTGTAGACCCAGGCAGGGTGTAAGACTGCAGTGAATTGTGTCAGCTGTGCAGAAATCACTGATGCTGATGTGGTGCTCCTGCCCCTTGAAGGCCCTTTGGGTGCAGCAGGGGCTGGGCTGGAGTTGCATCCCTGGCTGTGCCGTGGGGACTGGCAGCCGCTCGCCTGCCAGCGCGTCCTTCAGTACTGATGGTACTCGGCTGGCTTTCATCAGGCACAAGGACCAAGGGTTTATTGTGCTGGCTAATAATATTTAAAAATTGTGTTGGTCTGTTATGAAAAGCAATGGTCAGACTCAAGTACCTTAGCTCCTGAGAGAAGGACAGAGCTGTTGTTTCTCCTTCACGTCAAATAACAACCCGAGCTCCTGGCATGGTGCAGCATTTAGCTGTTATTCTTTCACTGTTGATTCAGGCCATGCATTATATGTTCTGGTGCTTGGTCACTTGTGTGAAGTGGAGGGGGAAGTAAAAGTAGGAGAGTACCTTGTACCTGCACACCTGGATGTGTCTGAGAGAGCACAGTTGTTCCAAACGGTAGAGGAAAGAGCAGCTGGCAGCATTTCTACATATAACCTGCCTCTGTTTTGCCCAAGCACTCCAGGAGACAGCTGTTAGTCGAGGTAACTAATATTTGCCTAGAGTTTTTTAAAGCTGGAAATCTGTGTCCATCATTTTAATGTTCCAGCCACAAGATGATCAAGTAATGTAAACCATAATTCTACTCTGTTCCATAATTGCTATTTACTTTTGGATGCAAATTACAAAGAAGCATAATGAGAGTCATAGCTCTTCAATTTGTTTCACTTTAAACAAGCAAGCAAGCAAAAAAAAAAAAAGAGAAGATGAGGCAATAATCATGTTTTCCTGTATGATTCAATACAGTTCAACAATTTGCATATTAGTTATCATTGAAAAGACAACAGTCATAAGAATTACATAAGATATAACAAAGGAATATCAATGTACTTTATAGCTGTGAATCAGAAAAAATTAATTTTTTACACCAACAAGTAGTGGGAAAGTCAGCATGTCAGGTTCAGTGGTTTGGGGTGTGGTTCCCTCTGTTTTCCTGGCGAAGGCATGTGCAGTTCCTCTTCCTGATATCTGGCAAAGCAACTGAGAGTTTTATGATGATGTGGACTTCTTCTCCCTATTCCAGCTCCTGTGAAGGGGATTCAGGTGATCAGAGAGCACTGTGATAAAATCGAACATTTAGGTGAAATTGCTTTCATTTAGTCTCTCTTGTCTTTGGTGCATTCAGGCCCTACATACACAGTCCTACTGAGAGGGCAACAGAGGGAGGGAGAAATAAGCAGACAGACAAGCAACTAGTTGGTGTATGTGGCTGGGAATCCCAAAGAAAATGGAGAAGATACTTAAATTGCAATTTATTTCTGATATTGCTCAGAATTAGCTGCATTTACATTAGAAATGTGAACATATTTTGCTTTTTTTTTTCAGAGCAAAAGTTTTTTTCAATTTGGTTTTTGTTAAGTAAATACTCTAGGGGCTGTAATTTGCCTGGATACACTGGTATAATTGAATTTTTGTTCTATAAAGTGGAGTTAAACAAAGATAAAAACAGCCTTGAAATGGATTAAATGTGGTTTCCTGATTTTGTTATGGAAAATTGAAATAATAACAAGCTATCAAACAAAAGTTCCCCTGTCTGCTGAGCCATACCACTAGAATATAGAGAATGTTGATGAGTATAACCAAGGCAGTGTTTTGTCTGCTAAATAAGGCTTTAATACACAACCAGTTAAAAAACCCTACCAAAACAATGACAGATAGAGTTAAAACAGACATGTAAGTTATATAGATTCATTATTTCATGTTATTCATATTATCTCAACTCTGATAAAAATTGTCTTTATTTGGATAAAGAAGTTGAATTAATTTGTGTTTTGTAGGTCTCTTCTCAAGAATCTGGGACCAAACCATTGACCTTCACATTCGTACCATCCATTGGACAGCTTCCGACTCATTTTGAGGTTGTGGATATCTCTAAGTTCCTTGTGACAATTCCAGAGGAACCAAAGGATCTGAGCAACCAAAAAATTGTAAATAAGGTAGATTTATTTTTGCATTACTTTTTCCACTTCTACAAAAGATAAAGAAAATTTTATTCTGAGCATTGCTGAACTGAAGCCCTTTCCCTTGAATGGTTTCTTGGCTTGTGCTTGGTTTAATTACCAAGATGTGGAATCATTGTGCAAGAGAAGGCGAGTGCTCAATAGCTTGCTTTGCCTTTGGCAGGCTTTATATTGTAAGGAAACCCTTGATCATCTCAATTCTGTGCTCTGTCAGTCATGCAATGGCAGGTGAGGGGGATTCCTTCCTTTATGACAGCAAGGGTGGTGTGCAAGGAGTGTGATCACATGGGAATTGACCAGGAGTTGTTCACTGGATCCTGGTTTCAGCAAATGCCAGTGCTGTGACTTCCAGAAAGGTGCCAATTCCTTTCATAGCTGCATAGTAATGCATCAAAGTGGAAGCGAGCTTTTGATTTTTGAAAACTTCTCCCTGTGATTTCCTGCAACAGTGAAGCCAGCAGCACAACATTCCCGGCTCTCCTTCCATTAGTCAGCCCTTTGTTTATTTGTTTCCTGCCTCACAACAATTAATGTGTTATTTTACTCCATGCTGCTCGAAAGGCTACCACAATCCTCAGGTTAATATTAGTGCTTATGGCCATTCTGCTTTTGTGTAACAGCTCTTTCCCTGGGACGTTGCTGGGGCTGTAGTTCTGGGTGCTTTTCCATGTAATAAACTGTTCACAGGAGTTCACAGCCCTCCAACCTGAACGTGTTCCAGTATTTCAGTGACCTATCTGTTGAAAGACGGGTTAGGTCTGGGCAAATGATGGATGTATTTGAAGAGACATGCATTGGAATATTACCTCCAGTTGGTTTAACTCATTAGTTACTTTTACAGCGGCACAGTATTTGTTTTGTTATAATTAATGCCCAGGGTAAAGCAGAATCAGGTCTTCCTGTCATCCATTCCATGTGTTTCTCTATAGACAGAGGAAACTTTTTCTGGCTGTTGATGCAGTTGTGAGGCCTTCATGGCACAGATTAGTCCCTCTTCTAAAATGTCTGGAACCGGAACAATGTTTTGACAACCAACATCAGATAATCAAAATAACTCTCTCAAACTCATAGTGGTGATATCCCCCTTTGTGGTCCAGTATTTTTTCTAAGAACTGAACTCCAGGACTCATGGAGCTGACAGTGAAGTGGAAATTTGTAATTACAAGGTTTCTCAAGCAGCAGTCAAATATGAGCCCCATCTGGAGGCTTCCTCTTGCAGAACACAATGTGTTTATTCATTTACCTGATTCCTCCTTTGAGGGAAACATGATTTGCAATAGCAGGTTCGATACTGCATGCTTTAATGATATGTGTGCCATGTGTATAGTCTGCACTATTCCTGCTTTCACCCAAAGCATGCTTGAGAAGTGACATACTGGATGTGGAAATTGCAGAAAATACGAGGAACAATTGTGGTCTGTGCTGCGAAGCTTGAACATACAGCAAAGCTCTCTGACCTCCGAGTCTGTTTGCTCTCTTCGAAGAATGCCTTGTCTTAAGGGCCTTTGTTCCCTCATTAATATGTATAGGTTTTGTCCCAGATTTGTCTGTCAGACTCCTCTGAGGAGCATTGTGTGCTCCGTGGATCCCGCGGTCGGGGCGCCTTCCCATCGTGTCTGGTGTAGTGCGGTCTGACAGCTCATTCGGCTCGGCTGCACCCTCCTTCCCGGTTCCCGTGCTCCATGTCTGGGGCCACCGCTGTCTCAGAGCCCCCCGTTGCTCTGTGAGTTGCTGGGAAGGCAGCCCCCACAGCACTGGCTGGGGGCTCGGAGCTGGGACTCCCTGGGGAAGTGGCTTCTGCTGAGTACTCATGCCTAAATTCTTCATTTGCCTACTGCACTTTTGGTAGTGCAGAGACAGCCACTACCTAAAGCCAAAATTGCTTCACATTTTGGGGAACACAAATAAAATGTAGCTAATTGGGATATTTTTCCTTGTATCTTTTGCAGCCTGATGCAGTCTCTGATGAGCTGGTCTTAAAGAGTGGGGCCAAACAAGACTGTGTGTCCACTGTCTGTGCAGGCAGCACGCGAACGGCTTTCCAGTCCCTGGGGTGTAATTCAAGCAAAGGAGAAATGCAGGAGAATGACCTTTTTAAGGCTGAGTTTATCCTGATTACGGACTCCGGTGATGAAGATGAAGTAGCTGCTGCCTCAAGCAACGTTCATCAGCCTTCCAATGGCTACAGTCCCATCAGTGCTCAGCTGCTGACCACATCCCATGTTTCCCCTGGCACCGAGGCTGGGAAACCTCCTGGCGATGGGCACCTTCCAGGTGCTGCACTTTCCCACAGTACTACTGATCCACAAAACCATCAGGTAATGAGCTGTTTAGACTCTAGAGAAAACCTTTGCTTTCTGAATCTTTCAGGATATGGAGCCAGTTTGCACAGCAGCTGGGTCAATTTGTTCTTTAATTAATATTTTCATTGGCCATTTCTGTAACGTTTGGACCTTAAGGAGGTGGCCCAACTCTTTTGACTTTCTGCCTCTCCATATGATTCTGGTGTGTGTGTGGAGCAGATGAGGCAGATCTCTGCTTTCCTTTAAGAGCAACTCATCATGACAGCAAGTTAATCAGGAAATGTTAGATTCCTAGCTAGTCTAAATTGGGTAAGGTCATTGAAATCAATGGAGCCTCGAGATCATTTGAATTATTAGCATCAGACTTCCCAGACCTAGATTATGTTTTCTCCTCAGCACTTCTTGCAGTCATTTATGCAAGAGAAAGGAGCTGTAAAAATCATACTATTCTGATTATTGGTTGTACACCTGACTTTGCACAGATGCAAAGAACTAATGAAGATGAAACTTCTGTTTAATGTGGATCTTTATAGGTGCATTTATTGACTTACTACATTTTCAATTCTCCCTGGGGCATTTCCAAAAAGAGTCTTTGAAAAGTTTCATTTACAAAATGCATCCATCCAAACTACTGCATGAAAAGTTAATGTCTCCCATCTTGGGAAGAACACTGATATATATTTAAGGGTATATATGCAATAGAAAATTCCACCTTTAGCAAAATAGCAATGTCCGTGCCACATGAAATAAATTCAGGAATTTCCTTTGACCTTGACTGGGTTACCATCACTTGAAAATGCAATTCTTCATTGAGAATTTAAAAACAAATGTTAAGCATGGCTACTTGGTTTCTGAAAATGATTTCCAGGATTTCCTATCTTGTGTTGAAATACTTTTGCCACTCAAATTTTCTTAAAAGACTAAATTTATGATTGAAGATATTGTGGATAAGAAATCCACTCTAGTCTGGGATTCACAGCAATATGAAATGTTCATTGCTTCTGAGAAACTCCCAGTAAAGTCACTGAGAATTTTCCATGAGGAAGGTTAATATCATAGGTAAACATACATAGAGGAAGCAGCCTGTAACAGAAACTTGTTCTGAGGAAATACAAATTTACTTTAGCAATGTTCAGGCTTACTTGGGTATTTTTAAAAAGAGCTTTTACAGAAATTGAGTGAATTTTGGAATACTATACAGAAGAGTTCCTATTTTGGATCTTTCTTAAGCTTCTGGTGACTTGAGAAGTAAAGAGAGATTTGGCTGGTGAGGTAACAGAAGATAAAGATTGCAGAGAACAAGAAATTAAGTCCAACTTTGCTAACTATTCGCCTGAACAGGAAGAGAAGCAGTATGTAATATGGGTAACTGCATATCTTGTCATGATTCTTTAGTCACAAGTTTTCAAGACTGTACTTCCTCAGTCTTCATTATCTCATTATCTTTAGCCACCTCTATTTCTTCATTAAAAAAATGGTTTTACTAAGCTGCCTTTCACTGTTGTTCCTTAGGCATCACTCTTTCTGACTTGTTATCTAATGAAGGATCATCACTTCTGAAATGAGAGAAAAAGTATGAAAAGATTAAAGAGATGCATTGTTTACCTGTTGGTACATTTCCCTTTTACAAAGGACTCCATATATGGGCTACCTTTTCAGTTTTTGGATTATAAGGGCAGTATCATGTCCCTTTTAAGAGGTATTGCATATAACATTAGTTAACTTAAAAGCATAATTAGAAAATGAATTTCCTGTCAGATGTGAAAAAAGCAAGGACCAGTATTGGGACCATTGTGTTGCAGAAGGGATCACTCTAACTGACCCAGAGGGCTCATTCAGTTTCATTAATTTCTGACTTGGTTTAACAAAAGTCAAAAATGAAAGCATTAAAAAATTGGAAATTACTGTTCTGTGAGACATAGAGGTCCTGACTGATATTGGAAAATGCCGTGCTATATTCAAAGTCTGAAAAAAATAACTTGTTAACTTGTTATTCTGGTCACTTTTGGAACTTTTTGGTAATAGTTTAATGTTTTAATATTGTGCTGGGGTTCTTTTTTAAAATTTTTTTTTAATTTTTTTTTTTTTTTTAATGTTAAAGAGAGTCTAGCCATGCAAGAGAGTCAGACTGACTCCTGCCTTTGGGAATTTACCCTTTGGCTTGAGAGGATGTCAGCTTCCCTGAGAATGTCAGGGCATGAGCTCAAATTGGAGAAATCTCTTGACTTGCTGTGTGGGGTCAGTAACTAGAAGGATTTTTAGTTACTTGAAGTCACTTGATGTTCCTCTGTCCTTTGAGTGCCATCTGGTTTGGCTTTTCCAGACAAATGAGTCAAGGGTCCCTACTAACTCATGCAATTGTGTGGACAATGCACCTTCCTTATTGGGAGAAACCGGACTAAATAGCATTTATATTAATTGTGTCTCAGCTCACAGTCTGGTTTGCTGTGTTGTCTCTAGGGTTTTTTCCAAGTCTTCCACAGTTTCTGGTGTTTCCTTCTGACTTTCTGGTTCTCAGGTTGCAGTCTTTGTAGTTGCAGTAATATTTTTTCCTGTCTATAAGGAGATTCTACTGAGGTCAAAGCGTGATTAACTGGGCCCAGGATCAGGTCTAAATTGAAGACATGATTCACTCAGGCATGATTTCTGCCTTTTGGCATCTCAGTTTGCACACTCTTTCCCTTTTCCAGTTTGACCAGCACATCTTTCAGGGTCTTGCTGGTATAACTAATCACATCTTTTGTGCCCTTCCAGAACAGTGTGACCTCACCAGAATGACCATTTCCCTTATCTCCAGCTCAGTTCTGCCATTTCAAATGTGCTGAAGGTCTTCTGGGCAAGGCTCAATACTAGTATTATGTCCACTCTGAAAATTCTGGAATGATTAACTACGAGGCATCAAGATCTTTTCCAAGTGCCTTTATCCCTTTGTGCCATCATAACCTTGCCACCTATTTCAACTTTCTTCATACATTTTTGGGACATGTATAGCTACTCAGAAGAAGAGAAAAAGGCTTGCAGTTGAATCACAGACCAAAGAAGCACAAATCTACTTTGGTCACTCCTTCTGCACTAATCCAATTCACCTACAGAAAGGTTTAATCCAGTAGACAACCTGGACAGAAAAAATTCCATTGATTGAGGGAAGTTAATCTATCTCACCAGGCACTGTTGAGGCTGCAACTGTAAAGTCATGCTCAGTTTGATGGCCAGCAGCTCTCAAATTCAAGAGAGATGTGAGGAAGGGAAAGGGGTCCAGCACAAAAGTGTAAATATGTTTGGGGCACACGTGAGCTGAGGCTGAAGGAGCTGGCTTTGTTGACTCCCACCAAGAGATAGCCAAGGAGGCACTGGGAGCTGCCCAGAACCACTGGCAGGGCAGTTATGGACATGACAGAGCCAAACTCTCCTCTGCAGGGGCAGGTGAGGCAGCAACGGCTGCAAACTACAGCATGGGTGATCCCATCTGGAACTGAGGAGCAGATCCTTCAGTGGGAGGTGGTGCAGCACTGGCACAGGCTGCCTGGGGGTGCTGGAGCTCCATCAGAGCTCTGGAGACAGAGGAGACACGGCCACAGCTGACCTGAGCCACTGGTGCTGGTGAGAGCCCTGCTTTGAGTAGGAGGCTGGACTAGATGACCTCTGGAAGTCACTTCCAAGCCACTTTGATTATGATTCCCTGATCCTGTAAAGAAGAGGTTGATCATCTATGGATGTGGTTATTAGTACTGTGTTGCAATAGCAAAATCATTCCTGAATACTTGATTAATGGTTCAATTAGTTCAGCACGTAAATGTTCAGTGGTATTTAAACTGGAAGAATACAGCAAAAATGTGTTTATCCTACTTGCAGGAGCATATTTGTCATCTGCTACCATGAACATTTTTGTAGCTGCTTATAAATCTTATTAAGTTTTAACTAATTAGAAGTCAGTGCACATCATGTGCTTTTATTATGAAGTTTTATATTTGTTCCTCACTTTCTTTTAATCTGTTGTCTTTGTAAGGGAAATTTATCTATTCTAGTTTGAAATACAGAGATTAAATACCCCAGCTCTGTTTTGGTAGTTGATTAGCTTCCAGAATTCATTATTAAATTCAGGAGGCTGCTCCAAATTATCAGATTTATTACCACACTGCTTTTCAACTCATTAAATACATTTATCTTTAATGACATATATAATAATAGTTTTTCATAATGATTAAATGCTGGCAAATGATTCTCAATTTCCAGTATTTTTCCTTCTTCTTAATTAGCAGCATTTTCAACAAGAGTCCTAATTTGTCAATTGAATGGAAAATATATACAGGGATATAAGCAACATTAATTTTTATATTCCAATATTTGTCCTGTATACATCCATTGACTTTGCACTTTGAAATAGTACACCTTAGAACATGTGAAAAATAGGGGAAGTTGATGTTGTTGCAAAGGCATTCGGAGGTTTTCTGTTTCTTCCTATAAATCAAAGCATTGATCTGGCTTTTCTGAAGTTACCTTATGCAGAAAGTGTCTTTGGTTTAAAAGGCTTGATATTTGTATGGTATCATTTAGCAGGAAGAGCTCACTGATTTTAAATTATAAGGGCTAATAAAATCTTGAAGTGTGTGTTTAGCCCATATTTAGGCATATTCTTGCCTTTGAAATCTTTTAAGTCTTGCTCTTCTGTCAACTTCTTCCAGCATGTGCTCTCACTTGATAATTAGTTGTTTTGTTCTTATTTTTCTTTTGTTTTGTTTATATCCATACTATATTACATAATCATAATCGTCATAATTTGTCTCTATTATGGGTAAGACATGTATTAAAATATAATTCATAGGCTGAGCCACAGCCATGAGCAAGTCATGTGTTGAAACTGAATGGTATAATAGTATTTCATAGAGCTGCATAATATTTTCAGGATATCTAACAGCAGTTAAATATGTGGTCTTATATTTACATCAAGTTTGATGAAATTGGAGTCAATTTCCCTGCCTTAAAATTGCTCAGTCAAATGTTAGGGGACAGTTTGTATCCTTTTGGTTTTACAGTTGACTTTAATCATGATTTCATACTGGTATGTTTTATTCATATTGTGTATACCTCAGTTTTTAATTTAAGCATTATAATCACTTGGAAGATTTTGAGAGAATTTCTTTCTTTAGAAGCATGAAACTGTATAACAGGTTGATAATACACTTGTATGCTCTAATTGGTTTTGACAAATCCTAATTAGAATAGACCCAAGAAAAAAGACACTCATGAAAGAGCTCATTACTGTTTTATTAGTGTATCGAAAGACTGTGGAGAAGGGGATAAGGAATCTCACATGCCTACAAACTGTCAAATGCTCTGCTCTGTGAATGACAGGAGAAGGGAAAAGCAGACTGGATGTCTGTTTTAATACTTCCAAGCAAATTTCTCATTCTGATATCACAGTGCTGCAGAAGGGCAGTTCAGTTGTTTACTGAATGAGAAAAAGAACACTTGACTGGAATCTTGTTTCAAAAAGGCTGCTTTCCAGTGAACTGGCAAAGTGGGATTGGACACTATTGCAATTTTCTTACCTTTCATTGTGTTTACATAATGTGGATGGCATCACATGATTCCAGACACTCATAGCACTACTGTCTTGGGTTTTACCTAAAAGGAAAAATACTGCAGCCTTGAACCTTGTTTACATCAACAAAACTGAAGTATCATAAACCCCAAGTACCACATAGCTTGTCTGCCTCAGTCACCTCCCCATAAAGACCTTATCCATCAGGCTCTATGTCCAAGCTTCAAACAGCCCTGTGCTCTTAACCCACACAGCAGTACTAATGGAAACCCTGTACGCATGACCACAGGACTGAAATGTGGGTGTTTAACAGTTCCACAAGCTCCACCTATTTTAACAATTCTGTTTTGTTTTTTTTTTTCTCTCCAGTTAATTTCTACTCTTTCCACCTCTGATCATCTTTCCTCTAAACCACCTGCTGTCCACTTAATTTCTCCAATTAATCAGAAAGTAGCATGCGGTGCCATGGTTAACATGAATCAAGCCTCTTCGCTGGAAGATTCCTGTAACAACTGGCAGTCAGCAACCAGGTTTTCTAAGCAAGACTCATCTCTCTACTTTCAGTCTGCTTCCCATAGTTCACCTCCCTCAATGTCTAGAATATCCTCTTCTGCATCAAAGAGTTGGTACTGCACTCCTCGGTTGTCTGATAACCTACAAACACCAAGTCTCTATAATCCTGACTGTGTTTGCAAAATGGGAGGCTTCACCACATCCTCTGTTCCGGCAAGGAGTCCAAATCTTTCCTCCAATCCTCCATGTTCAACTGAAATTCAGGGATCTTTAGCTCAGTCTATATCCCACAGTTCTTCCAAAAAATTGAAAGCGCTGTCTCCTCTCCCTGTACATATAATAACGCATCCATTATCTCCTAGCCCTAAACCTTTGTCTCCACCCTCTCTTTATGGGTCCTCTTCAACCATATGTAGTATAAATGAGCCTTGCACACCAACATTATCCAGAGGAAATTTAGCCAAGTCAGGGGTCAAATCCCCTCTGCCAACCAGACTGACTCTTCTAACTGCTATTCTGAGATCAGGCTCCTCTCAGCGGAGACCGCTTTCTCCTGCTTCTTGTCCCACATTTTCCCCTAGCTCCCTTAGTTCCTCAACACTTGCAATAGATCAAAAGTTCAAAACAACTCCCCCAACCCCCAAAAAATCTCTTTCAAGCCCTCCTATAAGGCCAGATTCCCCCAGAAAAGAGGATTATTGGCTTTCAGGATGGGCTCAGCATCTGCCTTTATCCTCCAAGACTCATCCCACCCCTCAGGTGAGGTCTCTTTCTCCTAAAAAGCACCCTCCCATTCAATCACTTCCTCCAGACTGCCGAAATTCTTTGTCAACCCCTCTCTCCTCTCATAGAAGGTCAGTTGCCTCTCCAGATTTGCAGTCTTCACTGCATCCTCCTTGTGTCCCAGCTCCTTCTTCCTTTGCATACCCCACCTCTCCTTCTCCAGAAGGGCTGGGCTGTTCTGCCTCCAGGTCCCGGGCACCTCAGAAGTCTCAGAGAGTACACACTTACTCGCCCATCTTTACTTGCCGGTCATATCCTTTGCTTGCTCCTACCAGTCCTAGTGGTGCACTGTCTCCCCTCCCAGAAAAACACTCATCTGCTTCCCCAAGTCTTTTGCGCTCACCTTCTAGATCTAGATCAGATTCATCCCAAACATCTGTTCAAGAGATCAGTACATCTTCTCCTACCCCTTCTAGAATCTCAAAGCAGTGGTCTCTCCCACGGCCTCACTCTACCCCACTGGTTCCACAAACTGGTGATATTAATTCCCATCCACTACAATTGAATTCTTCGTTGGTGCAAGCAAATTTTAGGTCTAACTCCTCCTCTCCGAGACCTGAGCATTCTGGCACCTCATCAGTGTTAAAGTGCAGATCTCCCATCTCAGACAAGTCACCAGGCACACTGCCATCAAGACCCAGAGAGCTGACTTCACCACAGTCTTTTTCCCTGCCTCCTGACCATGAAAACATCAAACCCAAGGTACTCTTGGTGCATGCTTATTTTATAATATTTCTTTGTCCCTGTAGGAAAAATAATCACATCCATGTTGCAGAACACTAGTAAAATAAATGGGATTTGAAAAAATGTGGGAAAGGAACAGGTTTTGTATCAATAGTGAAGATAGTGAAAATGAAATTCTACCCTTCCAATTGCTAGCACTGTGTTCTGTATTATGGAAGAGATGTAGGAATCCTTTAGCATAAAAAAGAAGATACTTTATTCCTGAGTATGATGATTTATTACTAAAGAAGGATTTGTGTGCAGTGGCTCTGATGTACATTTAGTACACATATTTGTGAAGCTCGCCTAAAATCCTGGTGTACCAAAAATCAACCATGAAGCATGTTCTATTCACCCCATTCTAAAATAAATCCTTATGTATTCCCAGGGAAAGTAATAGAAGTGTGGTGATCTGTGGTGCAGGGCTGAGCAAGAAGCAGTTTCATTTAATTGATGTGAGCTAGCTGATCCCCGATAAGTGATTCCCAAGCACCCCATCCTGCCTGTCCTCCTCACTTCCCTGGAGGCTTTCCTCACCCCAGCCACCCTGGGACTATCCCAGAGGAAATAATGAGCTCAGCCTGAGCAAAGACTTTGTGGCCAAGGGCCAGCAAGGGAAGATGAGGACAGTCCCCTGCTTCTTCCCTTCCTTTTGTACTCCTCTGATTTTGTTGTGCTAGACAGAGGATGAGGGGGAAAGAAAAGCCAAGCTTCCTACAGCCCAAACTACTGCAAATACCAAAGTCTCACACCTGGCAGATCAGCCATGCTCCTGCTGTTTGTCATCCACCAAAGGCTGGAGAGCCATTGCAGAGTGAGAATGAGCAAAGATGGCAATTGCTGCAGGAGGGCTTGGGAATAAGTCACACTGTGGATTTAAAGGTTATTTCCATCCCTAGATTACGGTATAGCTCAATGAACTTTGCTGATGTGTTAATGGTAGCAGGCTGTCCAATGATACTCCAGCCTCAAATCTCAGTATCTCAAGAAAGAGAAGGGAAGAGAAGGGAATCCAAAAACATGCAGCAGTTAGGTGAAAACAAGAGGAGCTGCTATGCAAAAAGGAGGAGTTTGTTGCAGAAGGCACCAGAGCTGCAGGAGGCTTTTCAACCTCTTTTATCTTATCTTTGTACTCTGTGCTTTCCTTGTGCTGTGTTCCCTTCCTCCAACTCATATCTGAGCTCTGTCCATCACACAAAGTCTATCATAGTTTATTGATTTATTTCCTCACAGCACAAAATTACAGCCTGTTCTGCCAGATCAAGTTGTGTCAGATGTACTCCTAACAGTTTGGTCATGGCAGGGGTGACTTAAAAAATGTTAATTGGAAATGAGAGTTTAAAATCAGCACAAAGTAGCAATTGTCATGAATGGTTCTTTTAAAATCCAAACGAGGAACCACTGTGCCAAGCAAAGCTGTACAGTATTGTTACACCCTGTCAGTATTAGTTAATGAAACAAAAAGAGATATGAAATTGTAGAAATTCCAAGAAAAAGCCCCTGAGACCAAACTGTAACACATGACAGAGCCTGCAGATTGCAGAACAGTTGCTGTTCCTGCTAGCTAGTGCATGGAGCACTGTGAGGTCTCTGGCAGTAAGGAAATTCTCTGCTTGTGACACAGAGCTATTGCCTGGGTTTATATTTTCAGAGGTTGTTATACTTCTGTCTTTCCTACTGTCCATTTTCCTACTAATTCTGTTTTATCATGCAATATGGTGGAAATTTTGAAACTGCCCATGGAGACTGGGAGAGTGTCCACCAGTATAACAGACTTGGACCATTAGTCCGGTCTAATTTTTAATCATGTAGACAAAGCTGACTCAGCTGGAGATGTGAAAGACCTAAAATATCTAAATCTAATGCAGCTGGGTGCTCAGTGTAAGAAAGGTTTCTCATGGCTTTGAAATGTGAGTCAGAGACTTCATCTATTGTTAATAATACTGTCCATTCAACCCCCCTTCTGCTCACTTATTTCCATCCCTAGATTACGGTATAGCTCAATGAACTTTGCTGATGTGTTAATGGTAGCAGGCTGTCCAATGATACTCCAGCCTCAAATCTCAGTATACTTCCAGAGAAAAAAAAGAAAAGTTTTGAGGAAAGAAAACTTTAAAATCCTAAGGAGCATTTAGGTCTCTTTAGTACTAATCAGCTCAGCTTTATAACTAGACAAAAAGCAGATTGCTTTATCTGACGACTGTTGACACATGACAAAATCTTTTAATGTATGAAAGTGCTAAGTGAACATCAAGGGAAAAAGATAGCATCTAGAAGTGCTTGCCTTTGGTGTGTAAAATTTGGCATGTGAAATTTTTCCACCTTAGTGTTGCTTCAGCAGTCATTGCAGCCGCATTAAGACACACATTAAACCAACATCTATTATTCGGACATGCACCAAATAATGCAAATCAAAGGATAACCTATTAATTTGTTTAACTGTTTGTATATGTATGTATAAGTATGTGCTTTCCCTTGGTTTATATTTGTTAATGATTTAAAAATGGGATTGTTTTGCAAAGTGAATATAAACATAAATCCACAGATCAGTGTGAAGCCTCAGCTTTGGGTGACCACAGGAAATAAAAGCCCTCTCTCTAGACTTTGTAGATAATGTCCTCATGGACCTAATATAGCAAAATGGACAGTGAAACAGAGTGGGGACAGATAAATTCTGCAGGAACAGTTGTTAATATTACAACTTCTAGCTTTCTATTTTGAAAAAAACTTTGTAATGGTTTCCTGGGGTATCATTCTTCTATAGTCTTTGATTTTTCCTATATGAATGCAGCTCAGAAATGCATATAGATCCATCCAAAATAGTTGGGGAATAAACTGACTTTAGCAACATAGAGATCAGCACAGCTGCAAAACCTACCATAAAGCAGGAAAGATTATTCATCAGGAGTTCTAAGATACCAAGATTTGTAACACTGATTTTAAGCCTTTATAGCACATATCTAGCAGATTTTACAGTGCCCTGTGGGTGCCCTAGGTGATCATTTGAACAAAAAAGCTAGGACATTTTCCCCCAAACTCCCCAGACTGACATTTGCTCAAGCTCTGATGTTGGAATTGGTTTGCTTTTGGCTGTACTGTGCTGCAGGCCAGCACACCTAACTGTCCGTGGCTGTTTAAAATTACTGCTAGATTCCTATGAAGCAGATTATTAAATGTATTTAGGTATGGAAAAATAATTTAAAAAACCATGAAATAATGTGTAAAGAAACATATTTATATAGGTGAGAAACAAAATCAAAGACTTTCCACTCATCAAGACCTGCAAAAATAGCACATTGCTCACAGGTTCTACAGTATATGGAAGTCATGAAGCATGTGAAAGCAGTATAGAAACTTTTACATTTTAACAGTCTGTTATGTCTTTGTTTAGTTAATGTAATAGTACAACTAACCTCAAAGTGATCATAATTCTCTTTTCATATATGATGTACATTTCATTATATGTCTTCACTAGCCTAGGAACTAGTGAAGACATTGTATTTCACATGTTCAATGATACAATTTTAATTGGTTTTCAGTTATAATCAAACAAGAATACATTTTGTGAATATGCTTATTTTAATATTTTGAATTTGGTCTTCCATCTCAGTGATCAGTATTTTATTTTAGTTTAAAATAATTAAACATAAGTTTAGTTATGCATAACTAAACTTTTCCATATAGTTTTTGCATATGCATAAATATATGTATGGAGTTATGCAGTGTTACTGTCTAAATGTTCAAAGGGCAGGATTGACCACACATGACTTTTGACATTTGAAAGTTACATATCCAAGCACAATTTAGGTGATTCTATTATAGCTAGTGGAGAGAATATGATGTATTTAGAAGATGATTTTATTTTACCTTTCCATTTGCCTACTTTGGGATTAGATTAATTCTGTAGAAATGCCTATGATTCTGAAAAGCATAAGTGTTGACTGAACTGCATTACTATCCCATTCTCTAAAGCCCCTCCCACTGAAAAATAGGAAAAAGTTCAGTTCCAGCATTTGCATTCATCTGCTTTGTCAAGCTCTTCATTCAATATGATTGCTGTGATTACTGACTTCTCAAATGACTCATTCTCCAGTTTCTGACTGAGTGAAGCCAAAACCAAACAATATTATGTATAGAAAGAATTAAAAGATTGTGCCCTACACTATTTCAGGACAGGTGCAGGTGTGTGGATAAATTTTTTACCTGATTTAAAATTTTGCCCACTCTGCTGTCATCAAGATCTTTAGTAGATACAAAGAAAATAAAAAGTAAACAAGAGAATGACCCAAAGTACAACACGCTGTTTCATTCTGTTATCTCATAATCACCAGTATTTACTGTTGCAGGTAATGGTACATTAAAAAACCTGACGTGATTAACAAATAACCTTATTTCTGGCTGACTGTCACAGAAATAATCAGTCACTAACTTAAAGGTCTATTTTTGTGTGAATTTATGACTTTTTGGACAGATTGTTGCCTAAAAGGGAACAATGTAGCATTGTAGCATATTATTACTAATAATAGTAATAGTAAAATTTCTAGCAGTCATGTGATTAAGAATAGTACCTCTTGAACTCCTATAAGTATTGAAGAGTCTCATCAATCTTCTAAAAATTACTGAATTCAGCCTCTATATTTGCAAAGAAAATGTAAAAAATATGATTACTAAAAATTTAAAAATAATTGGGCAAACAAATATAGTCTAAAATATAAATTATTTGAAAATAATAAATTGTGAGGTTCATCTTAGAATATTCATGCCCAAACCCATACATTTTGTATGGTTTAGATTGCCAGTTCTGTTCATCTTATTAGAGTGTGAAAGTTTCTACACTTACTTTGTTTGGGTGGTAGAGTTATTTATTCAGGAGATGAAAAGCTGCATGAAAATTTAAATGATCTATCTACTCAAACAAGCAATTCAGCATTTAAGGATCATAATCAGTCTTATGAGAGCCAATCACAGAAATCTCTCTGATTTCATGGTTCAGGATCGCACCACTCAGCAACAGTTGTGGTGGTGGATGTACTGGCAGACAGAAGTAGCTGTGCATTTTCATATCAATTCACAAGAAAACTTGGAAGAAAACTTACAGCCTCCCCTGATATTAATTTAATGGTGGTAGTCAGCAGAAAGTGGTTAAACTTACTTTGGAAGCTCTGTGGTAGAGGGAATTTTCTTTGTCCTACTTCATTACAAAGAACAAGACATGTACATTGCTGGACTTTAAAGCCTGAACAGAAACACTAGATTTTTAAAAAGAAATAGTTTTTCTAGGAAATACGTAAACATTGTTTTGTTGCAACATGTCTGCAAGATGATTGTAATTGTCTTTCATTCTGTCATACCTTTCCCCTCTCTTCCCCCTCTCTCTTCTACCCTGTTTTACTTCTCTTCCTGCTCTCTGGTTTACCGTTTTAGCAGTACAAGATCAAGACAAGCTACAAGGCATTTGCAGCAATCCCTACAAACACATTGCTTATGGAACAGAAGGTTAGTGTTTGCTCAAAAACATGGGCACTGCATTGTATATTTGAGACCATTCAACTTTGTGTACAAATTCTGACATTTCTGTTGGGGGATACTGCAGAATGTGAATTCCGGGAACTAACTACTCAGGATTATAATTCCAGCCAGGGTCAACCACTTTCACTGAAGATCAAAGTGACACTAATCTGAATTTCTGGAAATCAATTTACTACCAAAAAGGAAAAAAATCCCAGTGTCCTAAAGGAATTGCCTTTTATCGCAACATCTCAAAATCTGTTTTGTTATTGGGAAGTGTCTGGAGCACTGCTGTTCTGGGACCTGACAATCAGTAGATCTTTGTCAGTTCATGATTATTAGACAGCTGTGCTGATACCCATAAATTTAACAACCAAAAATATGATATTTTGACCTGCTGTCTTGTTAAACTAAGAACCATCCTGCCATTGTTCTGACCTCTGTTAACTTCCATTCTTCCTGAACACTGTGAGAGCTAGCCAGTGGGCCATTCCCAGCTTGTAGTTTGTGGTGACAATCATTTTCTGCAGGACAGAAAATGATAGATTAAAACCCCAGACTTCAGTGCATTGATTTACTACCAAAGTCACAGTCAACAAAGGCAGGGCTGTATAGTCTTATTCAGACAATTCAACTTGGAAAGTCAATTGAAAATTTAAGCTTTGCATTAAGGGTTCAAAATACCCACGCACATTTATTTTTAAAATATTTTTCCCAAATTATTTTTACTCAAAAGAATAGCTCTGTTTAACAAAAATTTTCTCTGATGATCAATGAGCTAAGTGTCTCGCATGTTTAAAGACATGCTTAATCATGCTGACATTCGGTTTGTAGCTTTATCAGAAAAAGCTTTCTGCTCAGGACCTAGTTGAAGAATTTAGCCTCTGATTAATTTCTTTAAGCATTCCTGACTACAAATTTAAATCTATATATATATATATATACAGCTCAGTTGATTTCACTACTAGTTTGCAAAGCCTGAAGTTATTGGTTAGGGTGAACTTAACTGTGTATAATATTTGAAGATAATTTTTTCCTTGAAATGTTACTGATTGTGATCTAGTAACGATCAGTTAAGTGCTATAAATCAGATTATTTTTCAGAAAAAAAAGAGACATTCCTTTCTTTTCCAATGTTCTTTTAATCTTGAATGATTTTCTTAATCTATTGCATAAACCTGATCCTTCCCTTACTTAAATCTTGAATGCACTAATGAAGGTTATGTTTGCATTAGCTTGCAATGTGGTGCAATAGAAACGGCTCTGTAAAGGGAAATAGCTGATGCAGGAGATTCTACACCCCTACAGAATGTATTTTGGGAGGGTTTTGTTTGAGCAGAAAGCCTGTTAGCGGGTGGAAGAATTTGGTGGACTCCTGAAGTACCACTTCATGGTTGGCTTCACCTGAAAGGCACTGTTTGTGCACTCTGAGGCTGCACCACCCTGCAACCCAAGCCAGGTAGGTGGCCCTGAGCAGGGTACTCACTCTAAGATCACACTCCTGATGTGAACTAGTGGGTTGATATCAGCTGTCTGATTGCACTTCTTCGTAAGAAAATGGATTTCCTTTTGATGGTCTTGCTGGTGCTCTCTTGGACATTGACTCACAACCTGCATGTTACTTATCCCAGTACATAAAACTGATTTTTGCAATCTAATGCCAGCAACTGTGGAAAAAGTAAAGACTCAAAAAATATCTGTGTTGAGATAGACTTTTAGTCATCCACGGATTTACTGAAAATCGTAGCCTTGGTGTATCCTTCAGTAGTGAAAGCAGTCATGTAGTGCTAATAAGAAATCAATTCTCTGTTATAGGATTTGCCTTCAGGAGAGACTCTTGACTTAGTAACTTTGTAAGTGTATGTTTCAGCATTGCCTGAGAACATGCTTTCTCCCACCTTGGGAGTTATGGATAACAATCTCCTATTGATCTGCAGCAGCAGCTAATTGTTGTGCTCCTAAACTGGTCCTGTTGTGTCAGCTGATAAGAGTTTAGAGTATGACTCCTCTGAGAAAGCATGAAGTAGTAACATGGCACACTCAGGCCCCATTTTACCAAGTCTTAATTTCCAAATATTCTCCTCAAAAGTGTTTGGTGTGGAACTTCTGATACATTCTAGCTCAGCAAGAGTAGTTATGTTGCTTCCATTTTATGCAAAGCATTTTATACAAAGCATTAAAAAGAGTGAAACTTAGGATAGTAAGATTTTAACTGCATAAGTGATGTTTTACTAACATTCAAATAATTATTATATGATTAGTAAAACTACATAATTTTAGATATATATTTTAGCCTAAGGTGCTAAAAAAGTGTTTTGCTATGTGATTAAATTAGAAATGCATGTTGTCAGAAGTCAACTTTTTTCCACTGTGTGAGTAATTATATTACTTAATTTAAGTGGTCATGAGAAATAAAATTAGTAAGAATTGTGTTATGGGTGATCTTAGTAACAATTCATCTGCATTATTAATTGGGTCCCATGACAGAAAACTGCACCTCCTGTGGCATGTAAAGTGCAATGATTTGACTGCCTCTAAATTTTGTGTTGGTGTCTAACTTTCTTTCTTAAGTTTCTTTCACAAGTTTCTCAACTTTCTCAGGTTTCTTTGTGCTGATGCTTTAATTTAAACTGGCATTTTTCACTTCTGCTTATGAAACCATTAGCCTGTCATTTTGAAACCATTAGCCCTAATGTTTTTTCTAGAACATGTTCTTCTTATCCTTCAGTACTCTTACTCAGAGTGTTGTTCGACTATGTGCCCATTAGTAGAGAAGAAAAGGCTGATTGGCTATATATGTGTATTCTTTGAGAAACCCAGAAGTGGCTTAGCCTCATCAAATCTCCTCACTGGCAAACTTCCCAGCTGTTTGAGTTTGTATGAACCTGATATTTCTCATATCATTTCTGTTCTCTGCTCAGAAAAAGCACTATCCAGGCTATCTCTTGGAAGATTGGACTGTAACTTCCTTCACAGCCAGAAGAGTAAGACTTGTTAAGGGACTTACCCTCAGCATGGTCAGGCTCTGTCAGGGAGCAGCAAGAGGGGGCTGCTTTGCAGAGAGCCGAGTTGGCAGCAGGGAGGTCAGGACAATGTCCTCACCAGCACGGGCACAGCTCCACAGTGCCTGAGCAGGGATGGCAGAAATGCTGATAATGAGTTGGTGATACCCAGGGTCACTCAGCAGTGCCATCACAGCCGTACAAATCCAGAGCTTTGAGTCTGGACCACAGACTGTGATACTGAACTCTTCAGCCCAGCAGATGACAGGATCCACCAGCCAAATGAGTAAGCTGAACAAGTTTAATATAGGCATAAGGCAAAAATTTGACAGAAAGAATTAATTAACCATTAGGAAAAATTGCTGGAGACTGAAATAGGCTTTTTATCACAAAAATTGAAAAATCAAGATGGGACAGTTTTCTGGCTTCTCATATTCCAGATAGTCCTGTGGTTTAATGACATCGTACTAGGTGAGCACTGTCATTCCTTCTGGCCTTATTAACACTGAGACAGTAACACTTCTACAGGCAATCACTTCTGGGTAAGTTCTACAATTCTATGGATATGGTCACAGACTAATTCAAAATTTCCTTTTGAATTTGGTATTATTTTAAAAAAGTAATGTGTCTGTTATTTAGAGGTTGTATTTATCAAGTGTCAACTACAATGTCTTTCAGTCAAAATGGATAAAGAGTTTATTTCCAGGTGCTACAGCAAAATTCATAACGTTAAATACCTTGTGTTAAGAAAGAAAGACAATAATTTGTGCAGTTGTAGAGTGATAATGGGTCTTGTTTATCTGTAGTAATAACCAAATGTGCTAATGTAGGAGCAGCCTATGAACTCCTTCTTTCTTTCTTTCAAGGGCCTTGAAAATAGTCTCTTAAAACAAGTACAACTTCATCCTCAGGATTATGTAGAATTTGATATGTAACCCAAAAACTGTTGTAGGCTTTGGATTTACAAACCAAAAAAAAGCATTCTCTTCTCCTAACAGTTCCATCTTATTTGGTCTACAGCAAGCTCTATGCAGGTGAATATGGGTTTGCTGTATTTGTCCAGCTACACATCCCCTCTACGTACTGATTGGTCTGAATTTCCCTTGTTCTGAGCATCATTTTGGTGGAAAGGAAAAATGGGCATACAGACTTGGTTTTACAAATATTCTGCTCAGACTTTCCTCGGTCTGAACTGAGGATGAAGCATGGCACATATGTTTCGACCCAGGATGATGGAATGTGTCATGAAACAAATCTGCTTCACAGCTGAGGCTTATCCCACACTTACAAAGTCTTCTGAAAAACACTAGGTATGATTGACTGTGGATGGAAGGGGTGCAAGTGTTGTCTCATTTGGATTGCATTTATCAACTGTTTACAGCAGACAGCAATAATTTCAATTCTAAGTAAATGTAGAAAAAAATAAAACAGTCTTTCCATAGTTTGTGGCACTTCTTGGAAAACTTCAAAGATCTGGTAATTGCATCCCATAACCTGCAAAAACAGACTAAAGGCAGTGCAGCATATTCTCCTTGTGGGAGGAAAAAATAGAAAAAGGTATTTTCCTCTGTATGCAGAAGGAAAAAAAAGAGGGTATGTTTGTTGGTTTGTTTTTTATTATTTTTTTTTTAATGAAAAGGAAGAAATGCAACTGAGGAAGTGTGACAGCATGCAGCTACATTGAAGACCCATCTTTAATTCTTGCCTTTAGAAAACTCTTAGTTATTGTGTTATCAAAAATCCATTGCTATAGGAACTGATCACGGCAAATGCAGATACAGGCTGCTCCTGGAAATCATACAGCAGGAACCTGGAAGCCAATTTTTCTCACTCTCAGATGATTGACCTGACTGTTGGACAATTGGTTATTATGAGGAATGTCAGAACTTTCTGGACCTGGAAAGCATTTCTGACAACATTCTGTTGAGAATATTTTGGTAAAAATAGATTTTCTCCAAATACTTCTGGTGTGCACTTATTAGGTGAATTTCTTACATCCAGATTATGTGTTCACATCAAAGTGTTTCTCAAGGCTAGAGACAAATACGTCATGGTAAGAAAGAAAGGCAATAATTTGTGCAGTTGTAGGACTAAATAAAAGACCTAGTTTGTCTGTAATAATAATGAAATATGCTAATGTAGGAGCAACCTTTGAGCTCACTCATTTTTCATGGGCTTTGCAGTTTTCAATATTAATTATTTTATCAGACAGAAAATAGTAGGTATAATTTCAGTAAAATTTTCAGTACAATCCCCCAGAATCTTCAAGAGAGAAGTTAAAGGAAATAATGGTATGTGAAGTTCCATTTAGAGTTGGATTTTTTTGCACGTGCTGAGGGCTTAGGAAGAGATAGAGATGGGGAAAATATGCTCAGTCCAGGGCTGTCAGAATACAGTAATGTAGTAACTACATATCCTCTGAACAGAGAGAGACATGGTTCTCCCAGGAAAATCCTGGCAAGCTGTGTAGAAGCTGTGGGAAACTTATAGGAAGGAATTCAAACAATTATTATCTCTCTTTCTGTAACTATTGTTCATAGATATGGTTCTCCAGAGTGGGCTATTCATAGTTCACCGACAGTGTGAGAGGTTTTCACTTTGAGACCAATCAGGTATCAGCTTAGTGAGTCAGACTATAAAAGTTGCAACTTCTTCCTAATAAAAAATTGTATTTTGCCTTCTGATGACTGGAGTCTTCTTTCCATCCCTGACTCAAGAGCGTCACAGTAAGAAGACAGCTATGTCAGATATAGGTCACAAGATTTTTTTTTTCTCTTTCTATTGATGTGGTCCATTGGTGGATGAAATTATATTCTGTGTTTCCTATATGTTGCCTGGACTTTTCAGTCTTCTAATGAAATACTGGGGGTTGTGTTTGGATCATTTACCAGTATCCTTTCAGCTCTGATAAAGTTTTAGCAATCAAAAAGGAAGAAAGAGGAGGGAAGGGTTGTAGTCATCAGTGATGTCAATGGCACAAATGCATCACACCCCCAAAATTGCCTTTTTCAAGGAAAAAAAAAATAGTGGTTCAGCAACTGGTTATTTCATTTAAATTGCTTTACATTTTCGTTATCTAAATTATGATGTTCTTTTAAATTGTGATACCACTGTTGTTTCATATATAATCAAAAATTTGAATGTCTAAATAAGAATGTTCCACTTCTAATATTGTTAGACCATCAGCATAGGAAGTGAATCTTGAGTACTGTTGATAGTGCTAATCAGCAGTATGTAGATAGAAATTAATCATAACATTTTTGCATGATGACACCAGTAATTTTGAAAATGTAGTTGTACATTTTTATCTCTTTATTTTTTCTATGTGGAAATGTGAAAGAAGGCATGCTGGGAAAAAATGAGATGTGTTTTGAAAGTCTATCAACAGATTAAACAGAACCATTTATCTTTGTAGAGATGAGAGGGATAGTTGTAGAGAGTATGGTTTCTTGTTTCTACTCTTTCTTTGGAAAATTCAGCTGTTCAGATAAGAAAAAAATGAAAAATAGGAAAAAGAAAAAAGAAAGAAAAAAAAGAAGAATTAAAGAGGTGAAAGAGTGAATGAAATTAGATTAATTGGTTTGAAGATGAAAATTTTCTTTTCCCAAACGTGCAGTAAGGGAGAACACGGCAGCTTTTTGTAGCGTGGCTCCTGCATGATGGCTGTATCTCAGAGGGACTGTGGAGAGCACAGAACTTGGTGGTGTGCTCACCTGAATTCCTTAGTCACTGAAGGCTCCAAAATGGAAAGATATTTGTGAACTCAGCTTCTGAAATGAATAGATGCTTAAATTAGCCAGTCTTGTTTCTGAACAGAGACTTCTGGATGTAGCTGTAATTCCCCTGGAAAGATTCCCCCAAATCTTTAGGGTAGTTGTTTCTTACCCTTGATTTTGTTCACCCACTATTCTGGTGAAGTGAATATGAAACAGAAACTGTAGTTTTTTTTCTTACCAATCCCTTTATTATGTTTATTTTCCTCCTGGTTTCTTGGGGGTTTTGAGAAGCTTAGACAATTTCCATTCCAAATCCATGATTGATTAAAAGTTTTCCTTTTTCCTAACTCACATTCAAACTCATCATCCCTCTACATAATGTTTTGTCAATCCTGACCCTAATAGGTACTGAAATGACTCTTCTACTTAATTTTACTGCCTATTGAACCATGGGAATTGTATTTGAGTGCAGTGCTGAGCTCTCTTTGGCTGAGTCCTCCTCTTCAACGGGACTGTCTGTCTTTTTGAAACTCTAACTGGGTGACAATGATGAGACTTCAGAGATGAGAAAGGCTATTTATCTTTTCAAGGTCTGTCTTGGGTTAAGATTACATTAATTTCTGTATATCAAAGTGGATCACTTTTACTTTTCACCTTTTGCACTACAACTACTCTAAGGCCAACACATTTGTCATTTGTCAAGAGAGAGAGAAAGGAAGAAATGTTTGGAAAGCAGCCACTTTTAATTTCAGTAGAAGACACGGCGTTTCATAAATTTGCTTTTGTGCAAGATCATTTGTGGGTTGTATTATAATAATATTAAAAGTAAATTGTCATTAACTTTTCGCTTAGGTGTTCACAGATGTATGCTGCCAGTAGCTGGACAAGGAAAGAAGTCAAATGTAGTCAGCAAAGTAGAACTCAGACATAAGTATGCTTCTTTTCTTTTTTTATTTTTTAAAGATTCTGACATTTCCATGGCAGGTCCACCTACATATCCTGTATTTGGCAGCCCTCATACCCACGTCAGTGGGACCAGTCCATTCACGCAGAATCTCACATGCATGAGAAAGGGCTTTACTGGAACGCTCTTTTTTCCTCTTATACTTAAAAAAAATAACAAAATTAAACCTTACAAAAACATAATGTGTTAAATGAAAAAACTCCACAAACCCTGCAGTTCCCTTCCCTGTAGTCCAGCTTCAGCAGACACATCAGCAGGCTTCCAGAGTAATTTTTGGTCTCAGCACGGTGTCTATTTAAAAATCACTTCAAAGCAAAAATGGGTGATGGCAGGGAAAATGTGCTTCACAGATGCTGGATGAAGATGAAAAGGGAACTGAGCAGTGGATTTTGGCTTTTAAGGGTGTTTTGTGACCCTTATAAAGTGAAGGGATTGGCAAAGTGATTTCCACTGTTTTCAAGCCTGCTCCAAATACTGGTATAGGAAAGTGAGTGGTATAGCCAAACACAAGAAGGTTGTGTTTTGTTTTGGGGAGATTGCATATGTGCTTAGTGTGAGAGTACAAATAGAGTATGGAATATGCATTTCTGATTTCAGGCTGAAACCCAAGGCAAACACTATTTTTGTTGCAAGGTGAAACTACCATCCTCTTTAAGGATGGCAGTTTTCCCAGAAAACATCTACTAAAGGGAAAAAAGGGCCTCCTGTGTGTTTGGGTCCCTGCCTTGTCCACCTGCTCATAGGTGGTGGCTGTCTGTTGGCACACAGCAGGCAGCCCCCAACACCTCTGTGGCACAAGGTGCACACTCACCATGTTACATTTACTGTGAAGGACGTGGCATTGTTGAAGGAGAAGGCAATTGGAACTGGTAGTTTCTGATTTTCCAAAAGTGGAGATGATTCATCCTGCTTTAATACTTTCTTCTCTGTAAACCCATACCTACATTCTGAATCAGGTTTTGGTAACCTAAAGAAGATAACTAGGCCTGTAATTTCTTTCTTTTCCATCTTTCCATGGTGAAAGAGAAAGCACCAACTTTGAAAACAGAGTATTGGAAAAACTGTATGTTTGCTCGGTTTCCAAAATTTTCAACTCAGTATCACACCAGTACCTCTTGAATTGCAGGCATTAGAAGAGCCGACCAAGCCTGCTAGTGTGACTGAAGGCCCTGCTTTGGACACTCATTCAGAGGTAGTGGTGTTATTTATCTTTAAGATCTATATTTGAAATCAAAAATCAAAGTTTAACTGAGTGATCCATCCTCCCTTTTCAGATGTGCTCCCCTGCCCAGCTCAGACAACAAACAGAAGAGTTGTGTGCTGTCATTGATCAAGTCCTGCAGGACCCCTTGACTATGGTAACCCATCACTATGTGCAATGGACTAATTCTCTCCCTTCCCTTTTGTCTTCTGTCATTAACATGTCCATTCTCTGTTGAAAATAATTTTCCAGCGCCGGTGTGAGTCTTCTCCAAGTTTTCTGCAGATGAGCACAGAGTCAGATGTTGGCAAGGTAAGAGAATAAGCCCACGTCCACAGCAAGGGCTCTTTTCAAATAATTATAAAGGCAGGCAAAATCAGTAGGCAGTAGGGACTGCTGCGACAGTAAAACCAATGGCAACTCAGAGCTGCAGCTGAGAAATGCAAAATCAAAAGTGTTTGGTGGTTAAAAAAGCATGGAAAGACAGAAATGTAGCTCTGGAGTCGGTGTAGTCTTTGCTGCAGGATGCTTTCCTGAAGTCAGGAGGAGACATATATGAAAGAGAAAGAGAGTAATAAGGCTTCAGAAACTAAAAATCTCTCATACCTTGCCTGCCATATGGCAGGGTCTCTGGCCTTCTCTCAGACTTCATCCACCCATGTGTGCTTACTACAAAGCAACCAATGTTTCTAGCTTTGGTGGCTGAAATCATCTTTCAGAACATAGGGGTTTTTTCAAGTTCATTATTTATTTTAAAATAATGGGAGTATTAAATTAATAGTTGGACTTGTTCTGAAGTTCTGATTTCATTTTAAGTCTCACCACTCCCAGAAGGAGGATGTCTGCAATACATCTTTCTTCTTAATACTAAGAAATAGGTAGTGAGAGGCAGAGTTAATTTTCCATTTCTAAACTTCTGGTTTCATTAAGTTATACTGATGTGCCTTCTGGATTCAGGATGGCTAACCAAGAGAAGAAGGTCTTGCATTCAGTTTGCTCCAGGTAAATCAAAGGGATTCATTGCAGCTATAGGAAAGTGAAAATGGCAGAAATGCAACTAAAAATAGCAGGAAAGGAATTTCTGGCAGATGAACACACCAAAAAGTTAATCCATTCAAAATATCCTGCTGAATGTCCAGTCCACCAAGCAAGAAAAAGGCACAGGTCCAGCATTTCTCAGTGGCTATATTGAATATACAATCCAAATTTAATTTCTGTTTTTGAAAGTACTTCTGTCAATCAGCATGCAATGGTGAATTGGACTCCAAGAGGCTGAAAGACAGAAATGTGATAGCAGGAGAAGGATGGGCAGACAGTGTAATTGAGTGTGTTTTCCAGTGCCTGAAGAATCTGGAGTGGTTAAAATGCTGCTACCAAGCTGAGTTAGAGTATCCGAAAACCACTTCCTTGGGCAATTGAGAATGGAAGGCATCTTTTAGCAGTCATAAAATCAAATAAAGGGGGGCAAAAGCTGAGCTTAACAGGATGCAGCACAGGGACCAAGCTGAGGATCTCAGAATGAGGTCAAAAAGTGCTTAACAGAGGGTAAAAGAAGGTCATAGACATGGAAGAAAAAAAGAGATGATAAGTAAATACCTTAGAATTTTTATGGATTAGTCAATTAAATCAAATTCTTGCAAATGAAAGCATGGAGATGTAATATTTTTTATTCTGTGAGCAAATGTAACTTCAATTTCATGAGGCAATGATACCTATGGTTATCTAAAAATAAGCATTTTGTTATGAGAGTTCTCATATTAAATACCATCCTCAATATAGCAGGATCAATGGTTTTGAGCTGTAAAAATTAAGTAGTATTTTCCTACAATAAACATAAAAGCAAAGCTTAAATATGCCTTAGCCTCATGTATGGTGTGAATATTTCTGGAAAACTGGAGTTTTCCTGAATCTGAATTTGAGCAATTAATAAATTATCAGAATGTTGTAAATCTCTTGGAGTTACTGTTCAGAATAACTCAATAGATTGATTATATATCTATTTGGTTTTTTACAACATGTCAACAACACTGCAGAGAGCAGCTGGGCGTGAAACCAGATATGTAAGTACTTTTACAATTGCTCTATGTTTTGCATGCAAAAATGCTTACTTTGTCTGCTCCTGAACAATCCTGGGTGAGCCTGAGCAAGTATCTGCTTGTGATATCAGATGTTGACTAGCATAGACAAGCACATATATTACAGTGCTGGCATTTGAGACTTGAGGTGTCTTCCAACTGTAGTAAATCCATCCCAGCTGGAGTCTCTTCACTGCTGTGTCTGTTGATAATTTTACCTGTGTAAATATGATGTTAAAATTAACTTTCTCACACACTTCTTTGCTTTGTTTCCTTCAAGCCTGGGGCAAGGGTTCAGCTGTTTGGTAAACAGACTGTTTGTTATGGGTACTGAAGGGTGCATTTCTTTGGACTCAGCCTGCACGGTAGGGGACTTGTTTTGGTAGAAATCCTGTAGTTCTTGCTTACCCTTCAGAATCTGGGATTGATCCAAACTTTTCTTTCCAAGATACAGAGCTGGCTGAAAACCCACAGTTTAGATGAATTGAAGCTGTTTTGTCAGATACACGCCCATTCCAACATATGTTGAAAATGTCTATATTGAGTCATTTGTTCAATTATTGAAACATTAAGCCCAATTAACATATTAATTCTCTTTAGCATACACAGTTACTGCAGGTTCCACATTTTACTTGCAACTCATTTAGTCATGTGGTGAGAAATCTCAGCTTCCAATTCGTCATTCAGCATTTCTATTGAATCTCAAATCAAAGCTGTGCTGGCAAAGCAGCAGAGGTCTCCCAGTTTTATGCCAGCACAATGCTTGACTGATCAATTCAATTTTGCTTCCTTGAATGTGGCAGTGTGCATATTTTATTGCATACTGTGATTTTTGCTTGACAGATTGTGCTGGCTCATACTAATTAGGAAGAATATCAGAGGAAAGCTTTTTAATGAAATAAAAGAGTGTACTTCAGAGGTAGTCTTCGAGAACAGAGTGCATTTAATAACACTCCAGTGCAAATCTCCAGCTCCCAAAACTGAAATATGGACATATACTGTAATTTCAGGCATCCAGCTTAGGGAAGCCTAGGGATGGCATGGAAAATCACCCTTACAAACACTTTTTGTTTCTGTTTCCACCAGAACTTCCTAGATGAATGAAATAAATCAGTATTTTAAAATGCGTTTGGGATTTACCCAGAGGTTTATTGGAAGGCCAATCTTTGCTATAAAGTGTACAGGTGTGTTGAATTTTTTGTGTGTCAGGAGACAGACTGGGATCCCCAGTCTGGGCTGTGGTGCCTGAACTTGATGGGTCCAGGCTCTCCTGTGCTCTGCCATTGCTGTACTCTGCAGCAGAGTCTCCTGCAGGGCATATCAGGTGTCTTTAATAGCATAGCTGCATCACAGCTCTCTCCTCCTCTCTCTTTCTGCTTCCTTAGTAGGATATAAAAAGGCTATTTCTGCCCCAGTTAATAATCCAGGCAGCGGTTTGTTCTCTGGCCATTAGAGAAAGGACACACAGAAATGATTTTCCATAGAGTTATCTTCTTTTTGTGTCTATGATATCTAATACTGAAGTGCTTGTCAAAATGTTGCTTTGAAAGCATTTTTGGTTAAAAGAGTAGCTTAAATTTGTTTATCAGTAATGCTAAAGTATTATTTATAACCACTGCATGTAAAGGTATATATATGTATACATGGTAATATTGCTAATTGCTTCAATAGGCTATACAGAGTAGTAGATTTTAAAAGTATGTTGAAATAGCCTGCCATTTGACAGTTAAAATGTTATAGATTTGCCTTGGCCTCAGCTACCTTTTATATTCTCATGAACTTCAGAACCATTTAAGGATATTAATGATTGTACAAACAGCAAGTGAGTGTATAAAAAAAAATGAAAACTAACTTCAATTTATACCAGCTCACAACTATGTACTACAGTGGTAATTTAATGACATTTAAAACTGTATGGTGTTTGATATGATTTTATTCACCATTTAATAATAATGTATTTCTATTGGCTTTAGGGATGATATTGCTGGTTTTTAATAATAATACAATGATTCTCTAGATAGGAATTTCTCATGATTAACTGGAAAAATGAATGTCCGTATTACTGACATGTATACTTAAGTTGGATTCTGCTTCTCCTGCTATAAAGTGAGAAAAGGTTGAGAAGGTACTCAACCCAGTACTATTCATAATGTTAATAATATTGATGCTGCAAATTAACAGACAATGACAGGCTTAGAAAAATAAGACTTAAATTTCAATATTAGATCAAGATGAAAGACAGAAATTTTGTTGCACTTGGAAAAAAGAATTCCTAAAATCTTAACAGGCATTTGACTATATATAGAAATAAACTGGAAATGAGAATGTTTTTTATTCTTTTAAACCACTGTGTCAGTGGGAAAACCTTCTGTAGCTAAGTTAAGCCTAGTGCTGTACCTGAATTTTTTTTCTGTCATCATTATAATCAAAAAGACATTGCATGTAATACTGTATATATTCATCTTTTTTGCAGGCCAACCTTTACAAATCAGTGCCCACAGTAACTGAGAGTCAGCTGGTATGTAGAGCACAGCTGTGATACACTGTTTTTCAAAATTTGCACAAGCACAAAATTTTATTAATTATTTGCTTTCGTAGTCCTTTGAAAAAAACTCCAGTCAATATCTTTTTAAAAAGCTGCATTGCTTCTACAGAGCTGTATTGTTTTTTTTTTTTTCTGCGCTGAATACACACCTGTTTCAAGTAGCTATAAATCCTGACACTACTTGTAAACCCATGGGCCAAATGCCAAACTCCAGAGTCACGCTGAATCTTGAGGTGCATGACAGCAGTAGAGTCAGCTGCTGCTTCTTGGACTCTTTCAATAGTCCACTTGTACAGTTTTGTTTAAATGAAAAAGATTCTAGCATCTATTTCCTTCTTACTCTCTGTTTTATGTCAAAGCTGCTTCAATGAGTCAAATGCAAGGGTAAGATCAAATAAGAAAGGGAGATTATATATCAGATATTCATTTTAGCTCTGATCACAGTTTCATCTTGTTGGAGCCAAAATTTCTAAAGAGTCAGAAGAGAAATCACTAATGGATGCTTAGGGAAAAAAGAAGATGTGGATGAGATATTTGTCCCTTGTATTTCAACTAATGGAATCTTAAGGACTTCCTGAACCAAGTTCTTCTCCTAGCAATCTTTGACTAATTCTTTCATGATTTTTCCAGTTACTTTTGGAACTTAGTTATATTTTGATCTTTATAACATTCTCTAGCAATAGGCTTTACTTTTAAATTATGCATGGTGCAAAATAGTACTTTAGTCCTTTGTTTTAAACCTATGACTTGACCTCAGTTCTTGTACTGAAATAGCAAATAATATTTCTTTCTTTGCTTTCTAAATAACATCATTTTTTAGGTATTGCATTAATATCTAGACCTAGCACTATCAGTCATGTCAGTTTCATGTAGAAAATTAAAAATTGCTTGGTCACTCTTTGAAAAGCATGGATACTATCCCATAGTACTGATGATGCTTCTTACCCTTTTCTATATCTTTTTCAGATATTTGTTTTTGAGATTGGGAGACTAAAACCATAAACTACTCTTGTATAGCTCTGAATACAAAACTTTCTATTTACATGAGGATATGATAAAGTCCTTTATTGTTATTTCTGTTCCTTTCTTAACAATTTGTAGTACTTTATTTAGTTCTCCCTACTTGTATTGAGCAGCAAGCCAATGTTTGCACAGAACTATACACAATAAAGTCAAGATATATTTCCTGAGCAGTGAGAGCTGGCTTCTCAGCTAATTAGCTCATTGGTGCATAAGCATGAGCAAATTTGGGATGTAGTTTATTTTTTTGCTGTGAAATGTGTAAATGCTGAATTCAGTTATGTTTCATCTACCTTTTATTATTCATTTACTCAATATTTTAGGATCTCTCTGTAACTCTTTGTACCAATATTTTTAGTCCCCTAATTGCTATTACCAGCAAACTTTGTCACCTTACCAGACAATCTTTTCTGTCTGATCTGCACCCATAATTCAAAGCCCAGATTCCCAAGCAGATTTCTCAGGAACTCTGTTTGTGACTTGTTCCAACCCTGGTGCTGTGGACAGGGACACCTTTGACTAGACCACATTACTCAGAGCTCCTTCCAACCTGAGGTGTGCTGGGGCATCCACAACTTCTCTGGGTAACCTGTTCCAGTGCCTCACCACTCTCACAGTAAATAATTTATTCCTAATACCTAAGTAAACCTGCCCTCTTTCTGTTTCAAGCAAATCTCCCTCCTTCTCTCACTGATGGAATGGGGTTGCAACTGGGACCTGACCCACCAGTTTCAGCAAGATCTCAGGGGCAACCAGGGTCATAATAACAGGGGAGAAAGTTATAGGTGAACATGCCTATACCTCTACCAACATTCAGTCTTCTGACTTTTCGGACAGGTATTATGCAAGGCTCATTTTCATGCAAAATACCTTCTGTTCCTGAGGGAGGGTGGCCCTGTCCATGCTGCCCATAGAGAGTCACCCTGGCCCAGCCTGTAGCTTATTTCTAATTGTGCACTTGCTGACCTGGGCCAAACCCATGACAGAGAATGCCCTGGCACTGGGTCAGTATCACTGATTATGGGTCAGCTCTGGAACTTGTGCTTTGGTCTGTGTAATTTGCTGAAAGTTCTGTACACATACGATGGCAGCCCAGTGCTACCATAACAGCCTTTACCATTTTTTAATACTGTTGCAGGAAGACCAGTGGTTTCCTTGGCAAAATTTAGTTTTAGATTGTTTCTCAGCATGTCAGCTGTGACATTTGTCATAAAAAAAAGAGTTCAAGTTCTTAGTTTTGGATCAAAGATTTTATGTAGCTTGTCAGGGTGCTAATAAAGTGTTTAGAATTCTGGTTGCTGGCTGATATCTGTCACTCTGTTAGCAGAGTCAGACATAAACATATGACTCAGTCAGCATTTGAGTACATGATGTTGTTTAGAAAATGCTTCCTTAAAAGCATTTCTACAGAATGCTTTTGGGAGCGGTTTCTTACAAAAGGAGAGTAGCTTATCCTTGGTGATTTCAGGTACCGCAATGAGCTTTTGATTGCATGGTTACATGGTGTGGAGGAGTGCCAGAAGACCACATCTCCTTTGTCTGCTTAATAATGACTGGATAACAACTGTACTTTCTTTTTAAATTTATATTTACCTTTATGTTGAAATCCAGACATTTTATGGATGCTTTTCAGAAATATTGATAGAAAAATAAGTATCTTTTGGTGAATCCTACAAAGTCATGAAATATGGACTAGAAATTCATTAAATGAGCACTGCATCTTTGAAAAATTTCATCTTTGTAATGAAAATATTTTTTGATGCAGCTTGACAGTTACTATTCTTTAAAAAAAATAATATCACTGCATGGGTGATTTTTTGCTTCCAGTTGAATATTTTTCTTACTTGATGAGACAAATGAAAGGGCCCCAATCTGTGGAGAGGAGGGACAGTAGAAAACACAAATCTAAGGGAAGATATTTTGCCCCCTGGACCTCATCCTGCCTGGGAGTGTTGTGCTCCTGCCTGCCTCTGCTGCCTTCACCTCAGACCCTGGGCTGTGCTCTGTCCTTTCCCAGGGCAGAAGCAGAGCACAAAATACCCTCTGCACCCTCCCCTCCAATGGACATCCTGCTTGCCCTGTCCTTGCTGGATGCCTGCAGATCTCGTTTTAGGATGATCCATGACTCAGTTTACACGCTGTGTCCAGCAATCTCAGCTGCATCCATTTTTCAGTCTGGAAAAGAGAAGTTTACTATGAAAGTAAGCTTCATAGTAAACTTCATAGAAGTTTACTATGAAGCTTACTTTCATAGTAAACTTCTCTTTTCCAGACTGACTGATGAAGTGTATTACTCTTATAAATAGGCAGCAGGGTGTTATTGAGTATACATATTTATTTTATAAATAAATCTAATAGTGAATCACGTTTCTTCTCTGCATTTTTATACCCGGCTGGATACTGAGGATGGGGAGCTGTGACAGCACTTATTTCTCAGTCCCAGCTGGGCAAGCTGCCTCTCTGTGCTGCAACCACAGAAGGAGCTCAGCAGCAGTCCTGTTGTTACCTGCATCAGTTGTGACAGAGACCACTTATTTTCTGTGGGTTAGTCATAACAGAAGAGAATACAACGGACTCATTTAAAACTTTAAATTCAATCACAGATCTTGGAAGACTTGACTACTTTAAAAATTCCAGTGAGAAAGTGTACTTTTTCTTCCTTTTTTTTCGCTCACTGAACATGTCTATTTTAAAATTATCCCTTAGCCTCTACTTAGAGTTTATGCCACAATCCATCTTGTCAGATACTACAGTAAGAATTAAAAAAAAAAGAATCACAGATATACTAAATTGAGAAGGTAATAGTCAAATTTTTTGGTTGACTGGTTGACAACGAAGGAATTTTTTCTTAGTGAAATAATCCAATTTGTCTGAAATGATGGGTATTGCATATCCATGCTGATCAGATCCTCTAAAATTGTACTTTTCCAACTGAACTCTTAAAGATGCTGTCACTCTGTCACCGAGGTGAGTGGCTCTAGTGCTGGCATGATTGGCAGTGGAGCGCTCCAGTGGAGTGCACAGAGGGGCTTCCTGAGCCAGGGGAACCTCAGAGGGAACTGGAGAGAACTGGCTGGATGGCCAGGCTCAGAGAGTGGTGGTGAATGGAGTTAAATCTGGCTGGTGGCCGGTCACAAAGGTGCTCCCCAAGGCTCAGTATTAAAGCCTGTTCTGCTTAGTATCTTTATTGATGATCTGTCTGGGAGGATTTCATACACCCTCAGCCAGTTTGCAAGGTGGGTGTTGATCTTCTGGGTAGGAGGGTTCTGTGCAGAGGGATCTGGACGGGCTGGGGAGATGGGCTGAGGTCAATGGTATGAGGTTCAACAAGGCCGAGTGCTGGGTCCTGCCCTTGGGCCACAACAACCCCATGCAGAGCTACAGGCTGGGGCAGAGTGGCTGCAATGGGACCCAGTGGGAAAGGATCTGGGGGTGCTGGGCAGCAGCAGCTGAGCATGAGCCAGTGTGAGCCCCAGAGGGCAGGAAGGCCAGGGGCATCCTGGCCTGTGTCAGCAATAGAGTGACCAGCAGGAGCAGGGCAGGGATTGTCCCCCTGTACTCAGCACTGCTGAGGCCACACCTCCAGTGCTGGGTCCAGTGCTGGGCCCCTCACTGTGAGAAGGACATTGAGGGGCTGGAGTGAGCCCAGGAAGGCAAATGGAGCTGGTGAAGGGTCTGGAGCACAAGTCCTGGGAGGAGCAGCTGAGGGAGCTGGGGGTGTTTAGCCTGGAGAAAAGGAAGGTCAGAGGAGACCTTATCGCTGTCTACAAGTGCCCGAAAGGAGACTGTAGCAAGGTATTGTTAGACAAGAGGAAATGGCCTCAAGTCATGTCAGGGAAGGTTTATACTGAACATTAAGAAAAAATTCTTCAGCTTGCACAGGGAAGTGGTTGAATCACCATCCCTGGAAGAATTTAAAACGTGTAGATGTGGCTCTTAGTGATATAGTTTACTGGTGGGCCTGGCAGCCGTAGGGCATTGGTGGGACTCTATGATCTTAGAGACCTTTTCCAATCAAAAAAATTCTATTCTACATGAGTGTCATTTACAGTACCTGAAATCAATAGTATGTCTCCACTTTTGGTACTCTGTCTTAAAATTTCCACTTATTGGACATAATATTCTGCAGGTGTTTAAAAGATGTATAGATGGAGTACTCACGTACATGGTTTAGTTGTGAACTTGGCAGTAGTGGGTTTATGGGTGGACTCAATGATTGTAAGGGTCTTTTCCACCCTGTGTGATTCAGTGACTCTATAGAATCCAGCACACAATCACTGGTATTATTCCCCAGTAAGACATGCTTCTGCCTGGGTGTATGTTAACAGCATCACAGGTTGTCCTTCCTTCCTTCACAGTTACTGTTTTGAGGAGCCCAGTGTGAAAGCAGGTGTGTGACTGTGCATAAAGTGTGACTTGAACTTATCAAGCTGCAGCTGAACATCCAGAAAAAAAAACAGCCAGCAAAACCCAGAAACCATGGTCTGACAGCTCTGTAGCTATTTTTTGTCAGTAATAAACACATGCCAGCGATGAAGTTCTGTGTCTAAAAGCAGCTCTTGGCACTTTTGCCCACTATTTGTATTAGAAGTAGTCCAGGCAGCATGACACCTGAATAATTTTGGTGGTGAAACACCATTTCATTAATTTCATTAAGAAATTTTTTTAAAATATAGTCAGTACAGCCCCACCAGAATTGACTTGTCTAACAAATATTCTGTAAATGGTAAGGTATTTTATGTGATTCTTCCATCTCTTTTCTCCTGGGTGTGCTATGGGTCAAGACAAAACCTGGTGTCATTCGTCCCGTGCTGGTGAAAGGAAAGAGTGCACAGCAAAAGGAGGAGCCCTATCAACCCAATCCTTTTAAAAAGTACCTTGAAGAAATCAGTGATCAAAACATTGAGCAGGTGAGTTGGTCTCACTCTGAAGGATTTGTAGCCTCAGCTAATTTCCCTAAAGATGAAGGAATAAACATAGATCCTTGTTTTGTCCCGGTCTCTTTTTTTTTTTTTTTTTTTTTTGCAAAGTGAGATGATTCCCCAAGGGGCACCTGGCTCCTAAAGGAAGGTCTTCAACCTGAGATAGACAGCTGGGCTTTCTACAGAGCCTTTTTTTTTTTTTTTTTTGGTGATGTAAAAACCTGTACGTTGAGGAGAGGACCTTTGCATGATGTCTGTAAGGAACATTGTAAAAAATGGGGTTGAAATCCTGTGCTTCCCTGTCAAACAGGTGTCTAGACCATATTTACTAGAAACTGCTTCCTCCATCTGTGGCCCAGACCTGAATCTTCTCTGAAGAGAAATGACAGCAAGGGCTGGGCAAGGCTCACAGCTTCCTCTCCAAGGCAGACTGCAGAGGAGCCCCAGTGTGTTTCTGTTTCTCTTCCAGTGCACAGCTCCCCCAGGTCCATAGCTCCCCCAGGTCCACATCCATGTCCCTCCACAGACTGAGTGAGGGTACAGCTGTACCACCTGTGATGGTGGGGCAGCAAAGATGCTGTCTCCTCCCACAGCTCTCTGCACGAAGCCACAGGATCACTTTGCAAAAACACATCTTGGACTGTGCTGACCTGTATGAGGCCTTATTTCAGAGAAGTCCAGATAAATGGCTGTGGCAGTCTTTCCTGATGTATTTGTGTTTGTGTGCATTACTGGGAAAAAAAATTAAATATGATACATAATGTCCCAGTAAGAGTTTGTTATTAACCTATCCAGTATGTTCCAAATCTTCCATCTGGGGAGAAGTAAAATGAAGCCAATAGTCCTCTTGTCAGACACAATGTGAATAAAATACCTTGCTAATTGAATTTCTCTTACTCCTGTGCTTCTCTTCTCACATTAGACATTTTTGCAAAGGCAGCCCTCTCTTCTTCCTTTTAAAACACAATATAATTAAGAGTTTAATTTTAGCTCTTTCCATTTCTCTCCATAGCTCTGATTTGATGTAGAAAAATCCAAGAACTCCTCAAGTGTACTGCAGCAGTACAGAGGAAAATAATTGTGGTAGGAGTGGGTTCCAGCACCACATATTGATGGTATCAGAAGGTTTCCATAGAATGTAGAGATTATATAAACTAGAAGAAAAAATTAATAGAAATAGTGATTTATAGTTTGACCTTGAACTTTTCAGGTTGACAGTGAATATTTGAGTTCAGTGACTACAGGTGAGTTGATAGTGAGTTGTTCATGCTTTAACTTACTGAAAGCCTTCAGATTCCAAGGTGCTGTGCTGCCAGTTTCCTGGAATGAAAGAGCAGGAGAGTTATCTGGACATTTTACTATAGAGCTTTTATCCATGGCCACCTCAGCAGAGCCTTCCTTTAAAAGCAGGGGCAGTTCAGACCTCCCTTTCATCAGGGCTGGACACTGATTATGCTGGCTATGGCTTTACTGATGATTGGATTATGTAATTCACCAAACTTCCTCTTTTCAGACAAATAGAAACCTGGGGTTATTGCCAGGGCTTGAAGCATTATGACATTTGAAGCTAACTGTGGAAACCAATCAACTTACACTTTATAAATTACTTGTGGCACATATTACTGAAATACTGACAGCATAATAAGTCTAATATTGTTGTTACAATAGAAGGCAAAGTTATTTATATGAAAGCTATACATTAAAATGAACAAAAAAATACTGCATTATCTTTAATAGATGGAAAAGTTGATCTCACAATTAATAGGTTCAGTTTTGCTTCCTTCATGTAAACAAATTATGTTGTACACTTTATAGTACTGACAAATTGGTACCTTTGTCCTAAGCGAAGTAATATTAGAAGTTGCTGTAAAATACGTGTTATTTTAGAACATCTTCATAAAGACATTTTTGTTCTGATAAAAGAAGTAATGACTTGTATTCAGATGGGTTCACTTAACAGAAACTGGTTTTGTTTGTGTGAGAAATGGCTATATGATTCTCATTGTGGTTTCATAGAACAATTAATAGTATAATAATATGTGGACCTAGGGAAAACACTGAAGTGCTGAACAATACAGCATATGCTCTTAATTTCAGCTCCTGCCTTCCAGAGCAGGTTCATGGTACTGATATTATATCCCTTGTGGGTGGAGGGGACTTGGATGCCCAAGTGAGGATGTTCACAATCTTTCAGCACCTGTGAAAATTTCCTGAGGGGTTTTAGTGCCGCTAGGAGGACTGCAGCACTGACTGGGGAACTGGGCTTGGTGCCAAGACAACAGCTTGAAAATTGCTCTGGTTTTCTCTAGCTGTGAGTTTTTTTAGCCTGTAAAGACTAATGACTGATTTTCCCCCTTCACCTGCTCTCAGTAAAAGCATTTTTGGCTGCACGGTGGCTGACTTCCAAAGAGGGGGAGTTCTTCCCACCAATATTCTCCCCAAATTGGGTAAATTTACTGCTTTCATGGGATATAAGAGCTGGGAATTAAAACTAGGAGACTGGAAGTTAGGCATTCTGTTATCTGTGAAAGAGCTGGTGCTAATCTGTCCTCAGATAAGAATTTAGGAGGCATTGATTGTGGCTGTGGGCCAAAGTGCTCATACTGTTACAGATTTTCCCTGTTTTTCTTTGAAGATTTTCCCAGTCATGCTGGGAGGTTCAGATCTTACATTTCTGTTCTCTCCCTCTCTCTGAGTTTTCTTTTCCTTTCTTTCAAATACCGTTGCCAACAACAACCTCTCTAGGTAGCTTTGCTGCCTCTCCTTCACGCAGCCCACCTTGAAAGGGACAGAGCCTTTCAGACTGCATCTTTGAGGAGGGTAGAGAGTAAATGCGATTCCAGATGGCATCAGATTTATTAATTTATCTTTTTTGATTTTCCTTAGACCTCTGCAGTACCCCGCTGCCCTGCTGAACCTCTCAGTGTGACACTGAGCACTGGTGACTATGTGGGTGACATTCAGTTTGAGACAAAATGATGCAGCCAGCTGTAACTGCTGACCTTCAGCTTCACATCCCTCTGTTGAACACGCTGTGTGTTCTGCACACCAGAGAGTAGCTTGTTTGTTATTCATTTCATTGAGAAATATTGCTATGTGGAAAAGTCAGTTTCCTTTAGAAAGGAATAGTTTTTCCTTTAACAAGTAGATGATCTCATGCAAATAATCCAAAGTAATTAACAGAGAAAAAAATATCTAAATTAGCAAAGATCATCTGGAAAGGATGTAGTTCAGCTCACAGATATCTTTCATCATCTGTGTTCTGGGCACAGTGTATATAGATTTAGACTCATGTGTCAATAAAATTTATAAACCAAGGAAAAACCCCAATTTATTTTGGCTTTTTTTTTTTTTTTCATGTTAGCATTTGCTGCCACCTTTTATTTTTTTTCCCCCTGAGGGCCTATACAAGTGATGTTACTGTTACCTAGTGGATATTCATCCCTCAAACACTTTTTACAGAGTGTAATATTTTAGAGGTTCCAGTCCAACAATATTAAGCTTCACACATTTTTAGATGCCTTTAGATACTGGAGATTGTATTTTTCCCATCATGAAAAAGAATTTTTTTCCTCTTAGTACATTTCAGTAGCATTCCAGGAATTTTCTAAGTATATCCCACTTTGTTCAAAAGAGAACTATGAAATAGGCTGGAACTGGATAAATCTGTAACAGTGCTGATATGACAGCTTTATGAAGATTTTAATTTGAAATTGGGGAAACAATTTTTTTTTTTGAGGAAAGTTAAGCATTTCGCTACATAATTATATAAAGTGACTCATAAGGAATGTTAGACAATTCATGTGCTTGCAAACATTTATTAACAAAAATGTTTACAGACCTCTTTGTCATTTAAAAAATAAATTACTTTGGGCAATGGAAAAAGAACGATAAGGATGAACTAAAGAGATATTAGCTACATTTGATGTGAACTTGTGTGACCAGTTTGCAAAGGTTTAGCATTAACAGCAGCAGGACTGGTGCCTTTGAAGAGGCACGGCAGGAAGCAAGGCTGGCATGAAGTGGCTGGGCTGCTGCCGGGCTCTGATCCTCTGTTTGCTCATGCTCACTCTTTTGGTGGGTGATGCATTAGCTTCTGCTGGAACTAATCACAGCTCTTGTCACAAATTTTCTGGTTCTTTGGCTCAAAGGCACAGCACAGTGGAGTTGCTGGTCTAGACAGCCAGCCAACTAAGTGAGAATCCAGGATGTATTATGTCAACAGCCTTGATAAAATCTAAGTGCAAGATGTGTGCCAAGACCTGGGTATGCCTCCTTGACTCTATCCCAATTCTTTTGAAAATCTCTTTTTAAAAAGTGTTTTATCCTTAGGTGGAAAAAGAGCATACATACTGGGTTTCCTTAACCAGAAACACTATTAACTGCTGACATCTTAGAGCAGCAAAAAATATTGTGTGTGCGCCTTCACTGGTTTAACACTTAAATGACTCAAAAGTCTTGTTGGAGTCTTGCTAAAAACCCTGGAGTGCTCCTGCTCATATACAAATACAGCTGCCTTTTGTACCTTTCAGACACCGTTTTTACATTGGTTTTGTTCCTGTTCTGTTAAATCCCCCAAACATGATCGTTTTTTCTTAGGACAGGATCCTTTAGGGATTTTCTTTTCTTTTCTGTTGCTTGAGCACCAGTTGAGCTGCAGGAGGGAGATGCACTGGACCCCAGTCAAAGTATAACTGGTTTAATGGGACATCTACTACAGGTTTTTGTATGTGCACTTTCATGCCAATGAAAATATTTAGTGTAGATCAATTGTATTGGCATGAAAGTTCAGTACCTTTCCTGGTTAACCATCAAGATATATGAGACATAAAACAGTGCAAGACAAGCACTTTGCTTTCTGCCCAAACTTCTTTTTTTGCACCCATTAATTTGTTTCTGTTTACTTTTCTTTTTTTTTTTTTCATAGAAGATTGTCTCCTACACCCTCTGTATCCAACTAAACTGATCCCTCCAACTAAGTCCCCTTTGTGTCCTCCGTCCATCTCCCTCACAGACTGTCCAAACCCTGGACTTTCAGCCACTTCTCTTCCATTGTGTGTCATGTTCATGAGAATCCTTATGGCCATTACTGACACAACTTTTTGTACAATAAGGTGAGCATCAAGTATAGTGTGATTCAAGATCTGTGTAGGCTGTTATCCTTTTAATTCTAGGCAGAATTCAGCTGAGTCATTAGGATTCAGTGCTGGCAAGAGCTATGGGAGATGTATCTCAGATGAGCCTGTGTGTCCAACTTCCCTGGAGATATTACAGCTTTTCCTTTCCTTGACACAGCTCATGTTGGGTCTGGCTTTCTCTAGGCCACCTAGGACAGGCTCCCACCACTTTTCATTCAAACTTTTTCTTGTCTAAAGCAGTAGTAATCTATTTCATCCCTCAGATTAGTTTTAACATTTACCCTCACTGAAGTAATAGGGTATTTATTTTTTCCTTGGTGATTGAGCGAAGAGAGACTAATCTGAGAGAAATACAGACTTTTCCAGTGGCTCTATCTTTCAAACAAGCAGGTTTTTTGCCAGTGTTAAATGAATTATGTTATTGCTGACATTTTTATCTTATTTGAAGATAAAAATATTTATCTTATTTATCTTATATTTATCTTATTTTCTATCTTATTGGAGAAGCTGGACAAAAATCTCTGTAATCCAAGGTGTGTGGGTAACAGGGCTGGAATTAATGAGCTACGTAAGGTGAAAATTGTGTCCTATGCCTAAATTGAAGTCTTTTTGATGAGCAGCTGACACAAGGTATTTACAGTACCTCAAGAGAGCCCCTGCCCTGGAAAAGCATCAGTTGTGGAAGTTCTTAAAAGATGCTGTTTGAAACCTCTCAGATGCATATCTCTTCTATTTCCTCTTTTTCTAACACAGAATCTGGCTGCAAATGATCAAACCTGGGTTTCCAGGAGAGACTGTCCCACTCTGAGCCGTACAGCATACTTTATTTGGGACACAAGAGGTTAAAATGTCGGCACTGGGTGCTGTTTCTTTAGGCTGTGCCCTGGTTTCCTCTTCAGGGGAAGTACCATGGTGAAATATGTGTCACTAGTTTGTGGCATGCTTGACAGGGAGTCAAGACAGCTTTGGAAAAATGTGTAATCTCTGCAGAGGATACATGTTGATCAGCTGTCAGACTCTAAAGAAATGCCTGGAAACGCCTTTCTCTCTCCATACTAGAAGTTTGGGTTAATAGGCAATGTCCATAGTGTTTGATATTGGCCCTTCCATCCTATGGGATTTACAGATGTTACCATTTTACCCACTTATGAGGATGAGCCAGAACTAAAACTAAAACTAAAATCAACCTACCATTCTGTCTTTGAGACAACCTGAGCAAAAGCACCTTTTCCCATCTGAGAGACTGGTTTAAACAGAATAAATGTTCTGTTTAAATTTTTTACTGAACTGGGCTCACATATTTACTTAGGCAGATAAGATTTTACAACCAAATATTTTGGACAAGTTCCTGGTTCATTGTAGGCATTCACATGAACAAACAAATAGTTTACATGAACAATAAAACCATTTCTTTATATTGAAAATGGGTATTTATTGTTGATAATGAAAACAATGCTAAAAACTCAGAAATTTGAATAGAAAAGGGAAAAAGTCAGGGAAAAGACGTCTGAAGGGAGCTAAGATAGTGTAATTTTATGGTATATCATGTCAGCTTTCTTTGGCAAACAGAATAATCAGATGTCAATACTGTGCTATTTTAATACAAACAGAGTTGTTTTCACCCCAAAAGCAAATATTCATCAGTTAGAAATTTTTAATGTTTCTGTTTTGGTCTGTAATATTAACATTCATTGATAAACAAAGGATGATTAATTTTGATTTTTTTCTCATAATCAATATTTCACATTTGAGTCATTATATTCTGATAAAATCCCTAACAATATTTGCCTATTATTTCCTGCACCACTCAACTAAAGTCTAAAGTAATAATGTTTTTAAAAGGAAATTATTAAATTTATAAGTACTTGCAGTAGCAGAAAATACAGCACAGCAGACACAGGATAAAGTGTTGAAATTTTGAACAGTTACACCCATTCTGTAAACAACATCCCAACAGCATGGGAATTTCCTTTTATTCTCTACTAAACCTGGACTATTTTCTCTGTTAGTTCCCTGAATTTTCACCTTTCCACTTCTCATTCTTTAAGATAAGGAATAACATGCAGTGACTCACTCGCTGTCTCTCAGCCACCCAGTAAACACGTGGTCAGTGTCCACAGGGCCAATCTACAAATGATAAGTTTCTAATTATATGTTGTGTTTTGCTTCACCTTGCACTAGAGGGCAAAACCTGCTGGTATAAATTCTTGTAACCATTTAAAATATTTTAAATATGCAGTATTGAAAAGGGACAGGAGGTCACAGTGAATTAAGTTATTCTCCATCTGCACTATTGTTAAAAAGTTACCTTAAACAAGTGTTCCCTCAGAAATGGGAAATGGAAACAACAAAAATTATTATCTATGTCTTATATTAGGGAGACTGGATATGGTGAGGACCTAAAGCCAGGATCATGTCATTTGTTGGCTCAGGCTATAAGATAATGTCAGCTGTATTGATCTGAAATGCTTATTGAAAGGGCACTGTGGTGTTGTTTAGGCAGGCTTGACTTGGTGCCAGATTGGTTTTTTTGAAGTACCTGAATCTCCATAGGTGATGAAATTACAGAGATCAAGCTGAAAGATAGACTGGGCAGTTTTTGTGGATTATAACTCTTTGAAGTGATGAAATACATAACCTGTGTCCCAAATAATTTCACAATGTGCTTTTAAGATTTGATAGAAGGGGGCAGTGAGAACTAAGGTATTGTGTCT